TCACACATCATTATGGGCGCAAGTCGCACCCATTCTTCGTCACAGTTTTATACCTTTTCTACATCTTAAGACAAATACAATGGATGAAATAGAGGGAAAAAGAGCGACACCTTAGCTGGAATTAAGCAAAGCAAGAAAGTGCAAGGCATGCAGAAAAAATCCTGGAACAGAAACAAAAAGTTTCGTTTTCTATTAAAATCTTATTCGCTAATTGGCTACAACATACCTGCATTAGCAGGCTGTCTAAGATCGTAAAATATGGATTAATTTGAAAGCACGCAGTTTAGATATATTCTAATCAATCGCTATTTTTAGGACAGAAAAGGGGAATATCGAAATTAAAATGAAGAATATAAGGGGTTATTGCCAAGGAAAATTAGAAGTTTCCTTTGCATATTTTTTTAAAAAATCTTTCATATATATGTCTATTTGAATGAGATTGTTGCAATCACAACAGCTATAATAGTTCTTTGTTTACTTTGAAAAACACATTTTTACACTAGAATATAAATTGGCGCAGCAGGTGCACCTTTTCTTGAAGAATTACGTCAGTACCTTTGAAATTTAAAAAATATATTCGTAGTTAATGTTCTCATAGAGCAAGAAAAACGTTAATTTTTTTAATTATGAAGTGATACTTTTACACAATATTTATACACATTTTAGTAGCACTTACAAAAAAAATATTTTTAAATACATTAAAATATCTAATACGAAGAATGTAATTGTTTTTTCTGAAATAATATTTCATCATACTGGAGTTCAAAATTAGTACTTCCTACCATCAAGTTGTCTGCAAACAGTCGTCTGTTAATAATGATCCGAAATGCGATTTTACATACTTCAATTTCAAGTCTTTTGGCATTGGTACATCCAAATATGAATATCCAACCCCGTATATATGATTTTAATTGAACATATTTGTCTTTCGAAAGATATTTATGAAACTGAGATGCTTTTCTTTAAACGTCATTTTAACACATCATTGTTTTGCAATTCAATCACTTCCAGTAGAAGATCTGATGGAAGCTCCTCAATTATACAGTCAAATGATTTTGAAGCATGAAAATACATTTGCACTTGCATCAAGATCCACAAAATACAGTTGTAACTGTAGCATAAGTTCAGAAAATATACCCTGCCCGAATGTTCTTGGGAACGTGGATTTCGCTAATATTTAAATTGTTTACTGCATGGAAAATGATCATATTCGTTTAACCTTTTTTGCGTTTCAAGGAATGCAAATTTTCGGCGATATACCTTTAGGATAGAATACATTTCGCGTATGAGTACTGTTTTTCCCCATAACTTTAAGCTGAATTCGTTGAGTTATCCTACGACGTCTGCGACAAATGCTAATTTTCATAACCATTCGCTGTTTGATGATAAAAGTTTTGAGCAGTTTCTCTCATTGTTTATCGACAATAAGAGAAACTGCTTAAAACTTTTACATGAGCACGTGTTCGAAATGGATTGAATGCACACAGAACCGATTAGCTTGATTCAATTTATTTAAAAAAAAAAAAAAAAGAAAGAAAGAAAGAAAGAAAGAAAGAAACACTTTGCAGTTCTGTAACTTTCCACAAAAATAACTCCGGCCAACGAATCAGGAAACTGAGAGAACTGTCAATGCTTAGTTGCTGGCCAGTCGTTGGTTACTCACTCAGAGAAACTGGTATTCTCGTCGGGCTTATATAGTTTTCCTCCTGCCGTCGAAAAATCTCTAGTACTTTCCACTTCTCTAAATAACTGGAATGCATATGAGGGCTGGATACGGTTACAGTTACATATAGCATCAATTACAATACTCATTACAGTTATACAGGGACGGACCGGCTCAAAGTGTTGCCAAGTTTGGCGACTTTTATCGATATAATTTGGCCTTACTTTAAGCAGAAAATGCTCCAATTCGATTGTGTGTCCTCAGAATTCGAGCTTTCCAACGCTCGATTTTCAAAAATCAACAGCGGAAGCAATATTTCTTGCGGTCATGGATATGTAACTGGTAAGTGCGATAATGTTTCTTTATAGTTAAAAAGTATGCAAAGGTAACTTTCTCTTCTCACAGAAACAAGCTTAAAGATGGTGCAATAATCCTAATTTATCGTCTAAACCAGTTCTAAGTAGTCCTAAGCAAACATCCAGATGACATAAATAAAAGGCAGATAAAAAAATATGTAATGGCAACCAGCTAAAAATTCTGTGAAAATATCTCTCTGTCCCAATTAATTTGTACACTATAGTACTTGCTGCACAAAATTAGAAGGGGAAAAAAAAAAAAAAAAAACAAATTACGTGTAAAAATTCTTTTTGGAATCAGACCATATTTTAAAGAAAGGGAGATGAGATGTATGAATAATCGTTGCCACTCGCTACATTTTGTAGCTCTATTCGGACTGATTAAAAAAAAATTCAATTTTTTAAACTCTGTAATTTGTATTCCTGAATTCTAAAACCTATTTTTTTACTCCGTATTTCCAGTAAAACTATACTCAAACCCTTGGCGATATGCAATGAACTCATTTCTTTTATTCCAAAATGAACATTTCCCCTTATGTATGTGTGCATGTAAGGTAAAGAAGTATATAAAGCAAGTTTCTAATTTTAACTGGAAGTAGCTTATTAAAATTCTACATTTTAATGTGGTACTTCCGCTTTCTGTCATAAAAATAGCAACTGCTTAAAATATATCTAAATTGCGTCATTTCAGATTAATCCATATCATACGATTTTACATAACGTTGCTAATGCACGTGCCTTTTAACTAATCAGCGACTAAGATTTCAATTGAAATCAAAACATTTTTGGGAATCATAGCCTTTTGTCTCTCTCCCAAGCCTTCTTCTGAATGCGTCGCACTTTCCTGCTTTGCTTGATTCGAGCTAAGGTGTATCGTCACTTTCCTTTATATTTTAACTGTTATATTTGAGTTAAACTGCAGAAAGGGTATAAAAGTGTGATGAAGAATGGATCTAAATTGCGCCCAAAATGACGTGCGAATCAGAATAGCTTCTAAAGAATTTCTTTCTTTAGAAATAAAGTATGTCGAATACTCACAAAGGATGCGTCTGACAGCGACTACACAATTAGGCCTTCTACAAGCCAGCACCATCTGCCATGAATAAGATTATTTGAGTCTTCTCTCGCGTCCTAAATTATTGGGCCTACATAAAGGTGCAGATAAAAGCTAGACCTGCACCTCTGTAGCACCATAGGTGATTAAGGTATTGCTGAACCTACCTAACTGTTAAGCTTCCGCCCCAGTTTTGAGAGAGATCATCCCCGGGGACGGTTCGAAGTTCACCAATCCTTCTTTCCATACCAACAACTTCTCGAGAGAGCTTTTGGCGTCGCCGTGTATTTTGAGTGCCCCCTTGCCGCATAGACACTACACTTACAAACCTTTGTACGTTCTCCTGGATTCAAACCCTGGCGCATTGATACAGCAGTCAGCGTCAGTAATCCCAATCACATTATGTTTCGACTACGCGGGACTTGACGTCGAAAGGGACAATTCTCAGAACTCGCACATTTCCAGGAAACCCACGTAGTTAGGTTACCATTTTCACTTACTACAAAGACTTGAACGCCAAACAGTAATCGATTATCACTCAGATTGGGATCACGTGATCCTTCAGAAACAGAACTTTGGTCTGACTGGTATCAAGAATCAAGGAAATCTTACTTATCTTTTAATTTCTATTCAAAATTTATGAATGATGATTGTCCCTTTCAAAATTGATTCTGGCCCTTACGTACTATACAAACTTTAATTTAATCACATTTACTGACTTCTGTTTGATTCTTATAGATATCAACTGTAAATATTTTTTTAACTAAGCATAAACAGATCATATTTTAAATTCAGTATACTGATTCAGTATACAGATTACGTAATCTAGTATCCAATGGTCTGGTATACCTGTTAATCCGGCGTGCATATATCCTAATAGGAATGCTATCTAACGAAGTTGTGAGCATGTCATTCGAAAGTAATCGGTGTTTACTACTTTATGTTTCAATGTTTACTATTCTGGAGACGGCATAATCACAGTTAAATGTGTGTGGTAAAGTTCTGTTGAAGAAACAAAACTGTTGATCGTACAATTTGAACTGATGAACTCAATTCGAAGTGTTCCTTCAATTATTCCCTGATCACAGAATAAAAATAGAACACGAAATTTGCCATTGCTCGCTTCAAAATTTCTTTAAATTCTATAACATATGCAATAGATAATAAAATTAATTCGAAATGCAAAATTCGGGCTTCGAGGTACTCATATTCGGGTGGAGGATTACGTTATTCAAAATTTGATGGCCCTTAGGTACCATCGTTTTTTCACAATGCGAGAAATATACATACATTCATACAGATTCTTCATTATTTAATTTCTTTAAATATAATGTAGGGCGATAATATTTGGTGGCAACAACAAAAGTTGTCACGAAATTTTAAAATATTTAAAAAGTGATACGCCGCTTACAGTGAACCGTTTCGAGACAGCCCTTCTGAACTAACGCTCCTTTGTCTAAAAAATCTCATAATATTCTGAGCATGTACGTTAAGTTTTCAAATTTATATGTTAAATCTGATTTACAAAACGAATACTTCTGTTAAATCAAGATGCAGTGTATGGATAAATACTAGTACAGCATTCTTTCGAAGGAAATTTGAGTATCTTTTGTATCTCAATTTTATATACAGGAAAAAAATGACAATGAAAAAAACTTGACGAGCGTATGGTAATAATAATTCATATTTACCTTAAATTTCTGAAACAGAAGGCTCTTTCCAACAGTACTATTACTTAAATATAATAACATTATGTCGCTTTTAAGTTAATTTCTGATACAATTTAGACAGAATATTTCTTTCTTAGAATATTTCATACTCCAAAGATAGATTCTAGATATTCGAAAGCTCATTTACAACGTACCTGCCCGGTAATAGCAGAATAATAATAATAAAAAAAAAAAAAACAAGTTATTGGTAAACTTACCCGTTCCCTTGTGGTATCTTCTGTTTCCAATGAGCGGCGGCTAGTGCTCTGGAAAGACAAGTTATGTAGTATTAACTGTCTCTCATCCTTTACCAACCTCCGGAGTAGAGGTCAGTGTGCCAGTGGACGCTCGACCTTGAAATATGCTTGTATCTGCCCTCCTTACCCATTTCCTGCGGAACATTCTCCCTCAGCCCACCCCTCCTCACCTCCTATATTGCGTGTTATTATAAGTAACATTACGACAAACGAAATTATTTTGTTTCTGGCTAACAACGTGTTTTCTTTTTTTGCTGTCACTCGTCAAGACGACCGGTGGTATTGTTATTCTTTGTTGCATGCTTAGCGCGAGGTTTATTTATTGTCCTATTCGTCGGAGGAGAAAAAAAGAAAATGCTGTGAATATTTTCAGTGAATTGTAAAGAGCGTCGAGTCGGAAGGGTTACATTTTTTTAAAAAAATTTTATTTAAATGATAAGAACTTTTTCAGCGTAATCTTTCCAAAATCTTTGAACCGTTGCTTTAAGTTACGTTACGTTACGATATTATGCATTACCATACAAGCGATTTACGGTCGCCATTTATAAAAATTGTTAAAATATTTCATGCGGGTATATTTTAATGTTATACGGAGAATTTGTGAATATTTCAACATTACTGTAGTTAATAAAAGTATTTCTAATGCCGTACGTTACATAATCGGTACAAAACTTTTAGAGCCCTAATAATTACTTAAAAGATTTTGGCACCTCACATGCATGTACAGTGTAATGCCTGTCCCCTCCTCCCATTCCTGTGTCTCGGTCTTGGTCCTGGAAAGCTCCCTCTACTCTTGGAGATAGCGAAAATCATCAGGTATTATAATTAGCAGAAGACTTCTAATTTATTTATTTTCTACGTGGTTCACAAGTAGCATTACTTAGCATGCAGCCATTCTACAAAACATAAAATCTTTATCTGTTAAATTAATCGGTCCTCTGCAACTTAACTGAGCGATATTTATAAGCAAGAAACGCATTTCTAAATAAATTAATTAAGAAAATTAATAAAATTATAATAATTTGTAAACTAATTCAAAATACATTTAACTAAAATGTATCATTCTGCATTTCTTAACAATTTAAATTTTTAATTTATTTTTTAATAATATATTTAGTCTAATTTCAAATACATTTAAATGTAAAATATATCATACGGATAATTTGTGAATATTTTCAACATTACTGTCGTTAATCAAAAATGTTTCTAATGCCGTGTATTACATAATCGGTACAAACCTGTTTCATTTAAAGATATTGTTTTCGTTCTCTAATTTTCAGGAGTAAGAGACTGTTTTGCTGTCTTCTGTTTAAACAGAGTAATACCGAAAACTCTCAAATGAAAGGCCTGTCATGTTCTTAGTGTTAAAAATGAAGTAAGTTTCAGTAACAGGACAAGAAGTTCTTGACAATCAACGTTGTACAAAGTGTTTTACTTACTTTCTGTAAAGGCGTGTTGTTCATCAACGTGACAGAACGAAATTGTTTCAAAAGGAGTTTTATTTACAATTATAAATAATATTTTGCAACAAGTGATCTTTAACATGATTAATGTAGTAAATACATTTGGTATCTGACACATTGTATCAATCGGCAGTAAAATTTCTAATTCTATTCATTATTCTATCATCTAGCGAATTCTAATGATAATGAAGAAATTATGCAACAAAATAGAGACTACAAGTTCTATATAACCTTCTTTTTTATATTTTTATTTAAAGGTAAATTTATTTCTTACTATTTTCAAGTTTTTCTGCTTATACCATTTTACATTGGATAAAAAATTACAAAAACAATGTTCTTACTGAATTTCAAATTTATTTACAAAATTAATTTTTCACGAAGAATAGACTTTCTGTTTAAAAAGATGAACGAAATATTTGTATGATATTTTATCTTTAAAGATAAAAATCCGTTTTGAGATGTTAACTTGTAAACAGAAGTATTTTAGATTGCAAGTTAATATATTTATTTTTATAATGATTGGTTAGGCTAAGTTTGATTATTTGTTCAACAAAATATCGACGGGTTAAAAAAAAAAAAAAAAAAAAAAAAAAAAAAAAAAAGGAAGTGCCTTTGTGGATTACTTTTTAAGTGAAGTTTTAATGATGCAAATGCATCAGCCAGCATGCAAGCAGCACATATCATCACGCGAAACTGAACACGAGACTTATTCTCATCCTTCAATGATGGTATCCCAAATAAGTACACAACTTGATTTATAGTTATAGTATTTTCGCTTCCATATCGACTAAATTTTCAGTAAGTTTTCCTGTTAGTTTAGGAACAAATGCTGGTTATTTGGCCAAATTATTATGTAAAAAGCGGTGAAGTAAGATATCCATATTGTGTGAAAGGAACACTCACAACTTCTTTTTGGTACTTCATTATTTCACAAACATTCAATCAGACTTAAAATATTCTTACAGTAATCCAATTCGTGCCATGCTGTATCGAGCATTTCTCTTGCGAACGTAGTGATTAGCTTCTAGAAAGCTGATGCAGTTCCTGGATGATGCTAGATACATAGAACAGAAACGCAATCTTTGATATAGTTCTTTAAAGAATTTCATTGATTCAGCGCTTTATTCTAATGATTCTTTTGAAAGGTCTTCCAGAAAATACCTCTTTCTTTAGCGTGATGGCCGTCATATGCCTTTCCGTTGCCAAATACTTAGTAAGCAAGCCATTGTAGCACGTTAGTAGATAGAAAATGGGGGTTCTGCATCAGGAGGGTCAGAGGGTCAGGGGGCGTGGTCAATGACGTCACACAGAGGGCGGGGCCAAAGGCAACGTCATCACACTAGGAGGTGTGGTTTCGAGTGGAGTTTGAGGTTGTTCGTAGATTGCTGGTTGAGTTGTAGACCTCCTGCTTTTCATTTAAAGTTAGTTTTTTTTAATTTGGCAACGGAGTCATGGGGACCTCTAGGGACGAAAAAAGAAAATAATGTATTTAGGAATTGCTTATGGCGTCCTCTAGAGACGAAAAAAGAAAATAATCTATTTTAGAAGTTTCTTTTATTAAAAAAAATGTTCTATGATTCAAAATATAGGATCGAACCCTGAAACAAAATATCTGCTTTTCTGGAAAGAAATAACTGTTAAAAATATTGGAAAGAATAACATAATACTCATTAAAATTTCACACACACACACACACACACACATGGGCTTTTATCGAAAGCCTCAGCTTTCTGACACCTGAGGGTCTCTCTTCACAGTTTCACAGTCATGGGGTTTTTTTGAATACCCAGGTGCCAGCCCCTTCCCATAACTCCACTGTGAAGTCATTGACCACTTTAAAAATAATCCATTTTGTTTTCCATTAAACATTATTTATATTGATATGCCCATAGGCTAAGGAGTGCACTCCATCCTTTAAAATATATCTTTTATCATCAAAAGCTGAAAGTGCGATTTTATTTATAGCCATGGTAAAAAGATGATGGTTCTTACTCTGAATATTATATTGTAATTCTCTGGTGAAGATAGATTTCTCTAAACAATCTCTATAATTTTTATGTTTAAGTTTCCTTTTAATAACACTTCGTTTAACTCCTTTCGCGGTTTTCTTCTCACTTTCATCCAACAGTAGAGAGTACATTTTCGCCCTCAGTCCTATAAACTCCAGTATTGGTTCGGAATTCATTTCATCTTTGAAGCATCCAATTTTCTTTTTATTATTGATATTGTATAAAGCATGAGTCTTCGGATAATCTGACATATCGTACAGATGCGTATGAAAACTCATATCTCGATATACATCTTCTGTTAAAATTTCGTACGTGAGAGAGTCTGTGTCAGTAAAAAGTAGCTTGGCTCTTTCTCCATATTGTTTTTTGATATGATTGTAATGAAAATTGTACATATGATATTTACTAAGTTCTAGTATGACAAATCCTACATATATGGGCCTGTTTAAACTAACACAGTTTTTCAACCTTTGTACTCCAACCAAATCATTATCAAAAATTCTGAAATTATGAAAGGTTGGTGCAGCTACCAATTTTTTCGCTTTTTTTTCTGTATTGACTAATTGGACATCAACATGTTTCCTCACGTTTTCCATAGTTTTACCGTACACACTATTGTTCATTAGTTTAAAAAAATCTTTCTTTCTCATATCCTGTCTGTGCATTTTTACGTTGATCTGTATTAAACTGTATATAAGGTTGTAACCAAGCTTTTTGTTTAAATTTTATAATTTTGTGAACATGCATTAATTTCATACCTAAAGAGAGATATAACTGTAAATTTTTATGATAGATGACATAATTAAATTTAGGATTTAAATTAGGAACTAATTTAGTATTCGAGATAAATTTATTATTTTTCAGTACACTGACTGCATAAGGTGAAAGATGATTAGCTATTATTTTCATTTTTTTCTGGAGCTAAGGGATAATCGTTATGAGCATTATGAAGTTCTTTGGGATATTCAAGGTCTACTTCCAAGATGTATCCATCCAAACTGTCTTCTGATAAAGTCAAAATCTTTTCTATGACATTCTTATGAGGTTCAACCCACTCAAAACTTCCATAGGGTAAGGGTTGACTCATAGCCCACCCGTAGAGATTGTTTGCATCAAGGTATAAGATCTTTCTTTAGTTGAATCAAAATTTTTCAGATATTTATTATTTGCTACAGACTTACGCTGGGTAATCATGGACACACCTCCACGAATGCCCTGCTCTATAAATAAATGCATATTAACATCCGTTAATAATTCCAAAGCTTGATCAGTCATTTTTAAGCAGGCTTGCCAAGCTAATCCAGGTGCAGTCATCAAATGCGCACAATCTAAACTATAGTAAGTTTTACAAAGCTGTCTAAAATTTTCAAACACATCTGCTAATTGTAAAACATCACTTTTTACGTATAAATCATGATATTCACCTAAATTTTGAATATGAAAAGCTTGCCAAACAGTTTGAGCATGAATGTAATCATCCGAAGATATACTTTCACCAGTTAAAGTACTTCGAAAGTTCTCTATGGATGGTAACTGAGTATCTTTAAATTTATCAAAAGAGTTGATGTATTCATATGGATATATTCCCTTCCGTAATAATAATTTTATGTTTTGATCATTGGGAAAATTTTCTTTTAAAATCTTAAATTTTTCTTCAGGCAAGTTAGATACAAGTTTTTCCAAAGACGCGTTCATAAACTGTAAACTATCAATAAAAATTAAAGATATTCTTAGATTATTCCATTTTCTTTTAATACTGAAAGAAATATATTTTTCCATATTATTAGGTATAACATGAAACTCCCTGTTTTGAATTTTGCCGATGCCTTGCATGATTAAATGTGCATCATAGTGTTTTAAATTATGAAATACGACAGGAATTTTCTTTTGAAGTTTAAATTTCAAATTGCACTTATTGTGCAGAGCTCCTCTATACTTTCCCGTAAGATGATCGTGATCTTTTACACGATCATTATTCAAATTTTTTTTGCATAAGTAGCAATGAGTTGCATTTTTAAAATTTTGTTCATCTTGAGATGTCATGGAAAGAGGTACAATACTATATAATTTTTCGGCTATTTCCTCTTCTTCACGTAAATATTTTTGTATAAAATGGTCTACTGCATTTGGACCTCTATATACTGTTACAGGTTTAACGCTTTTCCCATCAGGTCCTACAATTATGTAAGCATATCCGCAAGCTTTATGATGATGTATTTTTTCTGTAAAAGACGCAGTAGCTACATCAGGTGTACAAGTGTCTATGTTTTCAATTAAAGCTTCAAAATCAGCATAAATAATGTACGGAATAGACTCTTCATATTGATAATTGGTATATTCTAATATTTTTTCTTCTTTCTGATGGCATTTTAATTCTCTGTATGTTTTGATGTTGACAGTATTTTGCATGTTCTTCTAACAGGTTTTCACGGGTGAATCTATGCAAGCATCTCATGCAATAGAACATGTGCTTGCATCGATGTTTTTGTGAGGTTACCTAATAACCGGGACATATTTCTTATTAAGCAATAATGTTGTTTAGTGTCATCACTGATTAAAAGTAAATTAATACAATCAGTTTTCTTTTCTGTTTGAAATGTAGAGGGGAAAGACTTCTTTTTCTTCATATCCAAATACATTTATTCTAAGATTATTTAGTTTTTCAATAGATGGTATTTTTGTAATAGGAACAGGGCATTCAATATTTCCTAATTTTATTTCATGTTCATAGGGTTTATAATGATTTACTCGGTTTGCATTATTTTCTCTAGAAAGATCATATTTGTGTGCAAGTAAGCACCACACTAAACATTTTTGATCATCATTTTGAATGTTTAAAATAGCTTTTTTCATGGCAAGTTCTTTGGGAAGAGGTATATAACTACTAGCGGCTAAGGGATGATATCGAGCTGTGCAGAGTTCTAATTTTTCAATTTTATCTAATGTCCATCCCGAGCCATTTTGTAAAAATTCTTCAAATGATTTTTTTATCTTGTTATAGGCCTCATTCAATTGTTCTTCAACATTCTCTATTGTTAAACTTGTGAGGCAGGTAGATCTAAAATGTGGTTTAATAACCTCTTCGTCCCCATCATGTCCTATTCTAGAGAACTGTGCTGTTACTATAATGTACCATTTTAAAGCCTTTTTCTCATTGATTTCTTCCTCGAGTTTCGACATAATATTTAATTTGATATTATTTAAAAATATTTCTAGATCTTGATTAATTTCTTTGGTGGCGATAATTGTAAAAGAACTGAAGACATTTAAGGCCGACGCTGCATGCTTCATACGCTTGTTTAATGGATGGGGATTATTACTTTTCCTTTTAATACTTTGAACAGTACCATGTTGAGTACGGTCATGTTTCATTAGATCATGTTTTCTGCTAAACACGTCGTTGCATTTTTCACATGAAAAGGTATTTTTTTTAACATGAATATTTTGTATGTGTCTTCGTAAATTATCTGCTCTCGTAAACTGAGCCTGACATTCTTCACAGTGAAAGATTTTTCCCTCATGTGTTTTCGAATGACGAACTAAATGACTTTTATTGCTAAAACTTTTACCACATATGTCGCAAACCTGTGAAAGATAGAAAAGCGGCTTTCAATATGCATGCTTTCCTCATTATAAAATTACGCATTTTTTTAATTATCCCTCACTAAAAAAAAAATTTAATTACATAAATTCATTTTAGAAATCGTTTAGTATTAACTCTTTACGTTTAAAGAATTTTAGTTTAGTTTAAAAATCTCTCTCTCACTACTTTTTTTCCTAATAATCACACATTATACAACAACGACTGAAGGGAAAGAGAACCATTGAATAAATAACTATATCTGCAAGTCACTATTAAAAAGAAAAAAAAATGTTACCCTCTCTTGTACTTGGTTGAGGTTCCATTCTTTCAGAAGTTAGAGAGTTGAATTCCTCCTCCTGAATTCCAAAGTCGATAAACTAAGAAAAAAAAAAAGAGAAAAAACTGTGTTAATAAAAAATATTTTTTTAGAATATTCAAAAATGATGACTGCTTTAAAAGTATTTGATACTTCATTCATTATCTTATAATAAATATACTTTTAAAATAAAGATTCAAAATAAAAGCATCTTCTCATAAAAAATAGTTCATTCATGCATTAAAAATATCATGCAACGATATACAAACTCGACTGATTTCCTTCAGACTCTTACAAATGCTTTAAAAAAATTTTTTTTTTGAACTCTAAACTATGTAAAAAGCAGGCTATTTAATTCAAATCATACTTGAAGCAAACATATAAATCGTGCATTAAAAAATAGATTGATTATAATTCATTTTAAAAAGTTCATCTAGTCTGAAAAAAAAATAATTAAAATAATATATAACAGTTCTAATACTTACGTTGGAAGAAACAGATTGGTGATCTTGTTCAAAAGCCATCGCAAAAAAATATTAAGCTCTGTGAATCAAATCAGGAAGACTTGCTCTTTTCAAGGTTGAGAAGAGAACTGACTTTTTCCATTTCTGAAACACCTTTTATAGGGATTAAAGAATGTTCTCGAAACATTTCAGATTTGTATAATCTGAACCAGGACAACAACAACATTATGATAACCCTTTCTTTCGAATACGATTTCAACTTCCATTAACCCTTATCATAACGTGAAGTCTACAACGCTTATCAAGGATCTTCCTTCACTTCTGTATGTATTGTCAAACTTGGAATAGCAACAACAACCTTAAGATAATACATTCTTTCACATATGATTATCAGAGTTTTAGAAATTTTCCATTACTCTATCATGATAAGTGGATGATGCTTTTAAGATTACCCTTATGCATATATGTATAAGTAATGTCAAACTTAAGAATAACAACTCTTTCAAATAAGTTTTTCAGTGATTATCAGAGTTTTCCATTAACCTATCTTACCATGATAACGCAATAATATAATGACGCCTTATAGACTGTCCTTCCCAAACAAGACAAGACAAGAATGTATTACGATAAGTGTTGATGAATTATATTGGTGAAGATATATTTTTATGTATTAATTTTAAAAATATAAGAGATTCTTTAAGACAGAAAAAAATTTTCATTTATTTTGTGATAGGTTTTTTGAATCGAAATGTTATGAAGATTATAAAATGCATTAATATAAGTACAGCTATTCTATTTAAATTTCTGTGTTTGGTTGATGTTATGATTATTTTTTTTTCTTATGATAAAGGCAAATACTTTCATAATGAAAACATTAAGCATTCAATATTACAGACTTATTCAATATCCTTTTTACAACCAAAAGAAAAAGATTAATATTCCTGCTAAAACGAATTTTTAAAAGCCTTGACTGAAATCAACATGCCAATGGACTATATCAAAAATGAAAATTTACAGAATCATGATGTTAATATGAAAAAAAAAAGTATTGCATGTTAAATCTGTAAAACATATACGTTCTCCACGAAAATGGGAACCTTATTAAATGAATAAAATTATTATTTTTACATATAGACTCTTTCTTCTCTCTACAATCAATATTTGTTTTACATCGTTTTTAAATGTTATGAAAAACATTCATTTCACAAGAAGCTTTTACCTTTCAATACATTTATTTTCAAAGAATAAATTTCTGTATTATACATAAAATATACTTGGAATTTTCTTTCATTAGTTAATATC